AAGACACTGGTATTTTCTGTGCAGGTTTACACTTTTCCCCCCCTTTTTTTTCCCTTTTTTCTTTTTTTTATCCAGCTTGCAACAAACTGCCTTTAGCAGTCACATCTGAGTCTGTGTTAAGGGACATTATGCATCAGTCCCTTCTTCCCTATTTATTTATTTTAATCCTAAGGAGTTCATAGCATTCAGATTCTCTGGAAACTGTATAACTGACAGATTTTGCACATCTCTGAAATCAGATTACAAAGGTACTAGAGTTTTAGCTGACATGAGAACACCACACTGGAAGAACTAAATGAACCCATGACTCAACTAAAACCTTGAATATGTTATTTTTCTCTGAATACACCATTACTGTTGACTTAAAAATAAATATACTCTTTTCATTAGTCATAATGGTCTTTAGACACCCTTGCAGAACTGAATGAAATACAAAATCCATTTCAAATGGAAGACTCTGCTAGATAAGCCAAGTCCAGCAAGACATTTAAAATACCAGGACAAGGTAGGAGAAAAAAGTACCATCATTTTGTAGTTGAATTTATTAGTGACATCTTATTAGTGACATCTCCAAGTGCATTTTCAGGGGTTACTTTGAACAGTATTGGCTGCACGAGCAATTGCACCTTTAATGTTAAAGCTGCCTCCCCTCCAATGCCCTTCCCTGGGAAGGTTGCTCTGGTAAAAGCACTTTATGTTATGATGGAAAAAAGAGCCCAGAGCCAAAAAAAACCCCACGAGTGTAAAACTGAACAGAACCAGTATCTTGTCTGACAGGTGATGGCTGCAGTTCACAGCTGCTGGCTCAAGTGCTATAAGCTTATTTTCTAACCCCTGTGAACTTCGCAGCAGATATTTGCATTGTTTGTTATTGCCCTCATCAACAGCATTCCAGGATTGGGATTAATCACTCCTCTTGTCTCTTTTCCAAATGAAGGCTGCAAAGTCTCAAAGCACTGGATTTCTTTGAGCACAAAAGGTCACTTTGGAACGCAAGATTTGTTTTTAAATTTCCTTTGCAATTTTGTTCTTTCCAGGAGTGACGTTTTGTGGCACGTGATTACTGAACATCCATCCGTGTATTTCTGTGAGGAAACTTCACTGGGACAATATAAACATCTGCTTAAAGCTCAAGTATTGTATCAAACAGGTACTGTCAATGAATGATCAGAATCTTATTTTAAAACGTTAGAAATGGCAAAGGTGACTGACTGCAAAATGATTAATTTTTTGCAATGAACTGGGACTCTAAGTGTTGTACCAGGCTTTGCTAAAGTGTGTTGCAGCCATTGACAAAGTAATTTAATTTTTCCTTTAACTTAAAAACAAATAGAGTAAGTGTCATCTGTCATTCAGGTGAACCAAAAACCTCTTAAGATTTGCTTCAACAAGTTAGAATCATACTTCTTTCTACAGGATTAAGGGTGTTTCCCAAGGTCTAATTTACAAATATCTTGGAGGATTTTGCCAATTGCCAGTTCAGTCCCAGTGTCCTGATGTTGCAGTCAGCCAACTTTTGGGTGCAAGATTCTATTAAACAGAAAGATGAAGAGAACAGGCAGTGAAGAGGGCGAGCGGCTTGCAGCGGGCTCCCTTCGGACCCCTCGGGAGAATGGCATGTTTCTTCATGCTCTGCCAGTCAGGAAAGTGAGACCCAATCGAAATTTCAAATGGAATTGCAAAGCTTTCCTTTTTCTCTTGTAGTTTTAACAATGGCAATGATCCAAGGAGTTTATTAATAAAGAGTAAGTTATAAGGCCCTGACATTAGCTCCCACTGTTCAGCGCAGAACCAATCCCTCGGGAATTGTCTCCCCACTGCTGGACACATTCTCTTCACACAGGAGCTGCCATCTCCAGTCATTTGCAGCTGTACAAGGAGCCTCGCCTTCTCTGGAGAGGGAAGGTCAAAATCTGGGGCTTGTTGCCCCTCCAGAGGCATTGGCCCCGTGGGAGCCCCACTGGCCACGTGTGCCCGGCCAAGGGCAGCAGAGGCAGACAGGCCGGGCAGTCCTGCTCCAGGAGCAACAGGATCTCAGCCCCACTTTGGGAAACCAATTGTTTGTGATTACATCATTTTGTTGGTACTGTACGCTCAGTAACAACAACTGATTTGCAAGCTACAAGGTTCTGGTTTGGAAAGCCCAATTTATATTTGATGCTGTGACTAAAAACTCAGTTCCTTAAGGGGTTTAAAATTTAAACTGATGCAAAATGCAGGAATTTTAGGTGCTTGGCTTCTCAAGTCAACATGAGAAAGCAGAGCTTTATGGGTAGCTGTTTGTGAGAAACACTGAAATGCACACACACACTGGGCCACTATTTATTTTTGCTAATGAGCAGCAAAAACAAATAGGACAAACACCACATCTTAAACATGAACACTTCTCCAAAGAGGTGGGGACTGAAGAGAAATCCAGGAATGTTTTTCGATACATTCTGACATCAGGGCATGAAGGCACACACAGCATTCCTACAGAACAGATGGGAGCACTGGGACCGAGGGCCGTTGGCCTGACCTTGCCGTTGGTTAGAGGACAGATTAGTGCTAATCCCACCGACCGAAACCTTGGTCAGTGCCCCGCAGGCTCCGCGCCCGGAGCCCGGCTCCATCTTACAGGGAAGATGAAAGGCAAGCTGAGCCGCATTTCGAGCTCCTTCATTCGAAAGAATGCAGGGGGTAAACTAAAAAGTTTGTAAAACTGCATAGGAAGTGTATTTACATTTGGCTGCCGTTGTTCAGGGGTACTGGAAAAACATGGCACTGCTTTGGAGATCAAGGTGTTTTCACCAGTTCCTCCAGTTATTTTCCCTTGATATTAGACATGAAACTTTTTTGGTCTGAATCTAAGTGAAAGTCACCTAAATGTGGTTGGAAGCATTATGAAAAAAAGTATCCCCTCCATTTTGGTTTACTTAGTGACATCTGCACAATGCTTCACACACCTTGAAAAGGAATGTAAGTGTTCCCTTGTGATGAATCAGTGTCAAGGAACCTGGGCTTTAAAACAAGATCCATGACCCTGTTCCCTCTCTCATCAGCTGTACAGAATGACACACAGAACCACTCCAAGAGAAGTGGTAAAACCAATTTAAGTTTAAAAAAAAAAAGTAGAGAACTTTAAAAAATATTTTAGTATACTGAAAACAAAATAGAACACCTACGTATTAAGTATGAGAAAGCATAAAAATTCCAATCCCCTATCAGTCTGAGTTCAGAAGACCCTGGATGTCACTGCTGCAACAGTATCACTTTTTGCAAGAAAATACTTGGGCAGAAGCCTTTGTGCAAAATTGTATCCCCTTGTGGGAACCTCACAAAACCTTCCCCATCAGAATTCGTTCTGCACTTTGTGCTCTCCCATCAACATGGATCAGCTGCAGCAGCTCCAGGGCTGATCTCAGCATCTTGTGGGAAGTTGAACAACTAAAGCAATATGCAGTTTATTTTTAATGGCCTTGTAAAGAGCGTGGTTACTAATTTGAGAATAAACAGCCAGTGCAATTAGGGGATCTTTGCCATTCATCTGTTCTGTAAGATTTTCTGCATTCAGCTGCTGCCAAAGTGTTCCATGTCTTTGGAAGGGGATCCTTCCTGCCATCGCCTCCAGCAGAGTGAGGAGCAACTGACCAACATTTCCCGGCCCGTCGGTAGTTCAGGTGGGAGAGGGAGGAAGCAAAGGACTCGTGGCAAGTCTAGAAATGGGAAGAGAGCGACAGGGAGTTCCCTAAGCCCACACGGGCCCAGCTGCCTCAGTTGTCATGACAGAGAGTGGCCAGTTGGTCAAAGGTCTGACATCATCCAGTGGCAAAGTTTCTAGGGATAGGTTTGGGAAGCGGAAGCAGAAATTACTGACAAGATTTAAAAAATACAACAGAGTATGGCTACGTTTGCTCTTTTCTACTGCTCTGGGTTTGTTTCCAACCTCCCTGGTCCTGCCAGTGAACATTCCTGTCGTGGAATTCCTGTCCAACACGGGCACGGAGTTGTGTCGGACATCACGCCGTAGGGGAGAAGGAATGGAAAGGACTAAGTGACAGTTTTCTAGATCTATTTTGCTCTAAGGACATGAGGTACAATGTTCAATTCAGAAGCAAAAGTACTGTATCACAGCACCGTAACTTCAATTGTATCCCAGTTAGGAAATTCCTAAAGCCAGAAACATACACATCATCAACCAATAAAAACTGAGGGCCAGGACGACACACTGGCGAGCTTTGCAGGAGAGGGTTTTTACATAAAAAGAAAAACATTTTTATGAGTTTTTCAAGAAACTACGAACCAATCCCACTTGACTGACTTAGTTTGCAAACAAGACTGTGCAGCGCCAGGTGCTCAAGAATTAAATCGCAAGTGTAAAGAAAGGAGAACTGAGATCTAATTGTATGTCAAAGTTAACACTGTAGGAATATTGCTGGCCAATGGAAATTAGGCGTATTTACATGAAGATTAAGTGACTGGTGTCTTTTGAAGGCACAGGTAACGCAATCTGTGGTGGCGTGGCGATAGCCAGTCTAGTCAGTACCTGATGCACAGCTAAAAGCCTGCTTCCCAATTTAACCCTGTGCTGCACAGTCAGGGCATTTAGCTAGAACAGTCTGAAACCCAAGTTAAAACGCTCTGTGTACCTCCTTCCTTCTTCTCTGCTTCATCTCGGATGAGAGGGGACGTGAGTATCACCTTCAAAGTGAGCTTGGGCTCCTTTGTGTTACGGATAACAATAGCTGCCTCATTTACATGCTCCTCCACCAGATACTTCTCTTCTGTAAGTTTCTGAAAGTCATCAACAAAGATTTCAAGAATCTCCCAATCAGCTGGAAGACTGCAGAATCTGCATGTGTGCCTCAGCTAGTGAGAAGCCCACAAGACACTGCAATAACAAATAAGGCCTTGCCTTCCTCATTAAAAACCATTTCAAACATTTCTTTTCTAGCCCATACAACTGCCTTACCATTCGCTCCATTAACATGCATTGTATCCGAGTTCTCTGCAGTGATCTCTCTGCAGGTCTCTGAGCAGTCCTTTGGGACTCTCTCAACCTCCAGAAGCACAGCGAGAGCCCCAGATGGCTCAGAGTCCTGCAGCCATCCCTTCTGCGTGCGAGTCTGGCTCACAGACCATACGGGTAGAACATGTATCTAATGTCTGTTCCGACTCCTTCCCCTGCTGCATCTGCTCTCCCGCAGCTCCTTTATTGTTGGGAGGAGAATGGCTAAGCATCTGCTCAGGATGAGCCTTCAAAGCAGCAAAGCAGAAGCTGCTGATGTCTCTGTACTGCACTTGCTCCTTTTGTCCACTAATAGGCCTAAACCCTCCTTCCCCCCCAGCACCTGATCCCTTTGCAGAACCTCTCCTGTCCTCCATGCCCAGACAGTTGTAGCGTTTCATGAGTCACAGCCTCATCTTTGCTGTAATCCCCACCATAATTCCCCCCAGGATCTTACCTGCCTGTCCCTTGAATTTATTCAGTCTTCACATCTTTTAATTACATCTACTCTCCTGTTTCATCTCACTGTTTTTGAAGCACACACTAACTTTTGTTCTCACTTTCAACCCTCCTCATTTCATGCCTCACTACAAACAAAATTTACTCTTTAATACTGAATACATCCCTATCATTTTCAAACAAGTAAAATGAACTCTTTACTCCTCAAAAGATCCTTTGCATTTTCAGCTATGGATAGGGCCACATCTGCAGGTACAACATTAGCTCATTAAAACAAGCCCTTTGTGTGAGCAAATAAATGGTGAGAACAGCTGTCAGGAATGGTAAAACACAGGGAGAAAAGCAGATCAGGGGAAAAGCAGATCAAGTTTGGTTGTGGTTTGGAGAGGGGCACTTGCAGTGGAATACCTGGGCAGCTCCTTGGCACCAGTGTTTGTCAGTCTGGAAGCTGAACTGATTGCTCAGCCTCAGAACTCAGTCACAAAGGCAGTCTCCCTAACCAAGCTGTAAGTGCTGCCTGCTGCATGCCAACAGCAGAATTAAATAGCCATAAATAAAATGAATACGAGCTCGTGATTAACAGGAGCCAAAGCGAGTGACCACCTGCAGTGACACGTTCTCACCTCAGCAGCACAGAGGGGATTCTGTGGGAACAGCCCCAGCGAAGCAGCTCCAGGGGGAACTGCAGGCTCAGGCAGGAGACAGGACAACAGCAGGGACTGAGTGACCCACTGGAGCAGGGGAGGTTCTGGGGCTGCAGTTCAGTCACACTGAGCCCAGAGAGCCCGAATGTGCTGGGTTAGTCACACACGAGGGTCACTGCCCTCAGGGCACTGACAGCACAGACAGGAGGAGGCAACAGCAGCAGGGAGATGTTCTGTTTTGTGAGCAAGTACTTCATGGCACCACATTAAACATGTCACACGCCCCAGATTTCGTCCTAGATTCAAACTATATTCCTTTATATCACTTGTCTGTCTTCCTGGAACAAATTGCAGTCTTTCCCCAAATACCCTTGGCAGTGCTACCAGGACTGCCCCAGATTAACTCACCTGAATTTGAGCTGGGAGATTGTCTTTAACGATACATAACAAGGTCTTTGTGGGTTTTTCTTTGCACATAAGAACCAGCTCCAGATCCATATCATCTTTTATCAGCAAGCCCTTTGCAACCAAGCCAATTCTCATCACACCACATAACGTCCGACCGCCTTGATCCCTGGAAATGAAACAATTTGGGCTAATTAAAATGGCATTTTACTCTCCAGACGCAGTTTAGGAGAACCTTTAAGAGTACAGTAAAGAACTTCCTAAGCAATGTAAAGACACTTCAGTTTTGAGTACTGAAAGACTGCAAAAAAAACCCCAGTTTTGCAGATTGGAATTGCTTAAAAACATGAAGAGAAATACAAGAAATGTTTCTCTGATAGGTCATCACCAGGCTCTTGTCTCATCCAGTTGTCTCCAAAGCATTTACTGCAGGCTTGGATTACTTTTTTTAAAACAAAAATCATTGTTGGTGTGGGGCTGAGCTGCTGGCTGCGATTAAACCACAACAGGCAGGTAATGGAGCCTTAGCAAAGTTGGACTGCTGGATTATAAAAACTTTTTTTGTGTATTAAACTGCATGAGCCCCCAAGCACGTGGCTGTGGATTTGCACTGGTGTGTTACAGGGACATATATTTGCTTAAAACTGCTGAAAGGTTTGTCTGCTAAATGCAGCTTCCCAACACCACAGTAAAACAAACAAAGAAATGGAGAGCAACTGCTGCCCACACTGGGCTCATTGCCATTCCCTGCTCCCACCACAGAAAGTCCAAATATATCCCCTTCCTTCTATGAACCTTCACATGCAGCAGAACCAAGGAACACTGGGAATCTTATCTGGGAGGAAAGGAAGCGCTGAGAGCAGCACAGGGACACACTGGGAGGGGAGGGGAGGGGAGGGTGAGGCTCACTTGGCATTGCCTTCCACAGCTTCCTCCTTGGCTTCCACATCACCCTCACACTTGGTAGACTTGTTCTTTTCATCCATCCAGTCAGAGACATGCTTAAGGGCACATTCTACTGTTGATACCATGTTCTGGACAGCTTCAAGTTCCTCTGGAGATGGATAAATGGTTGAGTGTTTCACCATTACGTGGCGGTCATCGTTAGCAAACGATCGGATCGATCTCTGTGGAGGAGTGGGAAACAGGAGGAAAAGAGAGACACGTTACTGGATTATCAATAGGACACTGCCTGAATGGGAATCCTCCCTGGCAGGGGTAGTAATGTCTCTTAGGATAACCATGCAGAAGCAATTTCTTTATTTAAATAAACTTTAAAAAGAAAAAAGCAAACACCAGTGCAAAAAAAATCAGCATTAAAGCAGTAAAACTTACTTTCATTGTTTTTCTCACTTTTCCCTGCCCTCCCCCACCAAGATTCTCTTGGAGAAGAGGGCATGGTCTGGCTGGCTGAGAGTATAACAGAGTGCTGAAGCAGGAGAACACAAAACCCCTGGCTGCATTCCCTTTGACTTGCTTGGTTATTTACATTAACCTTTCAAAGTCAGTGAGAAATCACTTGGACTCTGATCTTGCTGAAGGACCTACATCTCAAGGAGATACAAACTGTGAGCAACAGCACTGAGAGAAAGGGGGGCTGCCCTACCCTGGGATACTTGCAGGAGTTCAGGTGTTCTGAATTCCAGCAATCTGTGTTGGGCTGTGCCAGCCTTCAGCAGCTGGATAGCTCAGAGCAAAGGGGAGAGCCAGGGTCCTGATCCCAACCGGGAACCTCACGCCAAGGCAGGGAATTTGGAACGTGAGCATCCCAGGGTGGGAGCAGACTGGGCAAAGCATGTGGAAAGGAGGGCAGGCAAGGAGAGAAGAATCTTATTTTGTAGAAGGTGTTAATACTTTCCAAATAAAGTTTTTGCCTATTCTGGATGTGCTGAGTGCAGCCACCTCTCCTCTCTTTATGCCAGGGACAACAGCAACACACCTTGGAACGGGCAGTCAGAGAGCCAGTCCCTCACGTGTGCTGCTGCTGCAGATGGAGTCACAGCAATACAGAGGCTGCCAAGAGGCTCAGCAGCTGCACAGGGATTTACAAAGCCAGGAATGAAGATCAGCATAGAGAGAAACTGGTAAGGAGACTGAAATAATTTTTTTTTTTTAAATTTCAAATTAATACAGAGATGAGAGTGCTAATTAAAATTTAGTCTGCAGTGATACTGCTGAGGAAGGTGGACTTCAGTGGTTGGGTAGCCCGTGCTAGGAAGCTTTTGGTTTGTCACACACTCTCCAGGTGAGACTTCTTTGATCTAAGTAGTGCCCCAGACCAGCTGTGATCACAGCACACACCTCTGGCAAGAGCAGCAGTAAGTCTTGGTCTCTACAGACACATCAATCACTGCTGAAAGCCTCCCAGACCTGGGAGTCACCAACCAAGAACCTCTGTTCCTCCTACACATTAAGCACCTTAATTAGGTTTCATTTTCACCCCAACTCCATGGGTTTGTAGCTGTACCCATTCCTAATAACACAAAGGGCCTTTAAAGGACCTCAGAGGCCTCTGGGCTGGATCCTCGTTAAGGAACTGTCCACATTTTCCTGGTTTATTCCACTCACTGAGTCCCTTCCATCAAAGGTCAGCGTGATGCCATTCCCTTCCTCACTCCTGTGCTCCCACCCAGATGGATAATTTGGGCAGTAACAGCAGTACATCCATCGGGGGCTGGTATTATCCCCTGTTCTTTGGAAGGCTGCAAAACACTTCCAGGAGGTCCCTCTTGTGGTTATCCATAACATGGATACAGCAGGAGCTGCAATTTAACAACTCATCCCACCATGTCTTATCTTATCTTACCATCCAGTACTCCACACTGGCATATCTTTACAAATTCACATCTCAGCCATTCCCAATGTGGAGCCAATCCCAGGCAGATGAGAGGTGACTCCTCACTTAACCAACATACACCAGGTATATCTGGCTAAACACATTTCATCTGCACAGAGCCACGTTCAGTCACACACAGGTATGAATAATAATGCTTTTGTGAGAAGAGGTGGAAGGGGAATGTCAGCATTTGGTGATGCAATCTGCCAGTTCAAGGTCACTGATGCTGTTTGCTACAGCCTGCTAATGCCAGTTTTATTAGAAAACCTTATGAGCATCCCCTTGGTTTGTATTTAATAATTCATGTACTGCAGGCTCACAAGACAACTCTCTGGTTTTAAGAGGCTGACAATACATCAAACCTCACTTGCTTTGCTCCAAGCACGCAGCACCATCCCTCAGTTAGTGCAAGGTCAGAAAATCCCCTTCCTCGGGTTTGATCAGGCCCCATGCAAGACTGGCAGCAGAGAACACTTTTAATGCAGCCCTGTGAAAGACAACAAATACCTACCATGGTTTGTTAGTGTTTCAGCTCTCTCTCCCTCCCTTTCTCCTTTTCCCTCCTCCTCGGTGTCTTTGCTAAGCACTGTTTTGCCTGACAGAACCTCTTCATAAGCCTCTCAGTCCCTTGACAGCTCAAGAGTTCATACAGCCAAGATGCTCTGGGAGTCACTTTGTCTAATTCACCTGCAAAAAAGAGAGAAACAGCTTGAAAGCAGCAGCAAGGGCATGAGGATTCCAGAAGTGCTCGATGCAGCACATGGAGTCCAGCACTGCTCAGAGCACACAGGCTTTGAGATGGGAGCAGCCTGTGAGCCAGTTACTCCCCAAGCAGCAGCAGTCACTGGGGAAAGCAGCTCCCTGTACTGTGCCCACACATGGAACAACTGTCCCGTGCCAGAGCTGATCTCAGGGAGCTCTGTCGGCCACCTGGCAATCCCAGTTCCTGGGATGAGGGCAGGAAATCCAGCACTGCAAACATGCTCCTTGTGAAACCAGCTCAAGAAGTCGCTATTTTTATATCACATGCACGTTAGCAATCAAACACACCATATTTAATTATCAAAAAGTAATTATCTTTTGAAATCCCCAGTGCAGCCCTCGATCCTGTGTCAGATGCTGCACAACAAGAACCAAGGCTTCAGGTGGCAATAACTGCAAGTTGTTATTTAAAGAAGGACAAGCACATTCTCCCAAACTGCAGACGTCAGACCTGCGAGCAGCTCAGCTGAAATCACCCACACCGCCTGTGCTGCCCGTACACTGCCTTTCCCAGCACTCAGCACGGAAAAGATCCTGTGAGAGCAGCCTTCTTGTACTAAACTGGGAAACAACCTCCAGCACTGGCAGCAGAAAGCTGCAAATAAATGCTCTGTGAGAGAAGAGCAGAAAAACAGAGCAGGTAATGTGAGAGAGGAAAGCATAAGCTCGCTGCACAGCAAGACACTCCAGTCCTTGCAGAAAATTCCTGTTTTCCTTTCACTGCACATACTGTTGCATCAGCTCTCCAGCAACGTTTTGAAGCAATTGCAAACCCAGTCAGTAAATCTGTGCAGCCTGACACACGCACTCAAACATTTTCCTTTTCTCCCGTATGCCGACCCCCCTTCACCTGCAATATGTTGCATATTGTGTGTCAGAGAATCCTGACATTGTTAGAGATTAAAAGCATGCTTGGCAACAGCAGAGGGGTAGGTGAGATGACTTGAAAGCTGAGGAGATGCTTAGACTGTGGCGTGACGGAATAATTAAAATGTTGCATCCTGTAGAGATTTGAACTTAACAGGGGAAAAGGCAACAACAAATCCTACTTCCCTATTTGCCTAGTTTGGAAGAAATTAAGCAGGTTTACAGGACCAGCAGGTGCCTGGTAGTTGTTTGTATTGCACAGCCCTGAATTTCGGGTGCAGAATTGGGTACAACAAAAAGCAGCCAGACAAGAACACTGTGCAGAGCCCTGCCTGCTCCAGCAGCTGCAGCTGCCAAGGAAGAAACCCCAGGAGAGTTAAGCGCAGTCATACTAAAAATACTTGGGAAAAGCAAGCTAATGAAAACCCCGACTGCCCCCACTGCTCATCACGGAGCTCTGTACCCACCAAGGTGTATTAACACTCCACCAAATTGCTTCCCAGAAGCAATCAGAGAAGGGGGTGTTCTTTCACAGAACCAGCCTCTTCTCTTAAGAGATCCTGAAAGCCAGGCAGGGGCAGCTGGGAGGGAAAATGAGCAAAGATCAGTGCTTTGGCACTATTTGTTCAGTAAGCTAGTCAAGCCTCTCCACACTCCACAGCCTTTCACCACCTCCAGAACCAACCAGACTCTTTGCAAGGTCTTTTTGTTTTGGTAACAATAATAACAATAACAATAATAATAATAGTTTGAGTCAGCAGATAGAATACTAGAGAGACTTCTATGAGACATGTTTCTAGATCATCTATTTCAAATTATTCTCTCTCCACACTCAATTCCAGCTGTCTTCACCTACTCTTCTTCCCTGCCACTCCCACACTTCACCTTTTCGGTTTGTTATCCTCTCTGGCAGCTGTAATTTGGCCATTCCAGGCAGAGAGAAGGGCACTGGAATGTGTTGCTGAGTTCAGCACATGCCCAGTGCAGTGTCTCTGAGGGAGCAGCACCAGCCTGGCCTCCCTCCCCAGCCTGCTGCAAGCTGTTGCTTATCAGCTCACACAGGGCTCTGGAAGCAGATGGGCAGAGAGCGCTGGCTGGGCAGATTCTGGTGCTCAGTAAGTGCTGAGCAGGCTCTTGTCCAGAGGGCAAGTCTGCAAGAGACACCACGAGCTCTGCACACAGACACTCCTCAGGGGGCAGTTCGGGATGTGCCCAGTGCTTTTCAGTGTTTGAAAATCCAGAACAGACCAAAAATGAGTGTTTCACAGCTGTGATGGGGGTTAAGCTGCTGCTGGACTGATGAAGCACAAACACCCCCACCTCTCCATACCCTGCCTTAAGCAGGCAATAACCTGTTCTCTTGTTTTCAAGACAGGTTCAGTTTTCAGTGACAAGTAAAAGTTGTTGGATGAAGGTATTTATGAGTTTGGTTTCACCTGCCCTGGTTATCAGCAGGGCATGGCTGAGGTCAGGGCACAGACAGCTGAACTACAAAGGGATCTTTATTATCAAATTCAGAAAGCTGGGAAAAAAACCTCTGAAAGTTGAGTTGAAGCTGATATATGATGTTTTCCCAGTCATTAACATCCTACGAATATTTCAGAAACGCACAGGAGTGAAACCCTAATTTAGTTCAGACTTTGAGAGAACATTTTCAACAAAAGCACTAAACAGGAGGGAGTTTACTATAAAAGTGTAGACACAATATACAGAACAAAGTACATCTGACAGCATGCAGAATTAAATTAAGGAAAACCAAAATCAAATCTGCTCCAACCATATGGACTAAGGCAGCACAACATAGCTCAGCACCAAATACATCAGAAAGCATTATGTGAAGTGAGCAGCAATTCCATAAATCCAACAGCCTCATTCCACTACCAGGCTAGAGCAGGTTATTTGTTCCTGCATCCTCAGGGAAGTTACAGCTGATGCCCAGTCTAAAAAGCACAGTGTTAAAACGTGTGGCTGTCTTACCCAGAGGCTGCCACCCACACTTGCAAGGAAACTTCCACCCAAAGCTCCTTGCACCAACCCAGACCTTGGTGACCTTGAAAATGTCCCTTTTCCTCTGCATCATGTGGCCCTGAAGTGTGAAACAAGAGTAAACAGTCGCTGTCTCCAAACCAGGTCACGGCGGAGCCAAGCGGAGTCTGCAGCGTGGTTTAAAATCACTGGGGATTTGACACGTTAGAAATGTTATTAAAACACCATGACAGTGTAGCAACAGTTCCATTAAACATCCCATCCTTCACAGAGGAAGTTTATGCTTTGGCACAAGACAAACGAAAAGAATTTCAGATGAGGCTTTTGTAGTAGGAGATATTCCTGCATCTGCAGCTGCATTCCCGAGGGACAGGCAGTTAAACAGCCAGGGGTGATGAATATGCTCAGCTGCCTTGGAGTGCCTGTGAACAGAGTGAAAAGGCAGCAGAAACAGGTACGTGCACTCCACGGGGACTGAAATGCCAGAATCAGGGAGCCACGAGCTGCTGGAAAGGAGACATGAACTGTGTTTGGCATCCCAGTATCCCCCTGGAGCAGCACCTTGCACGGAAGGGTTACTGGTGCAACAGAGAAGAGGGAATTGGGGTCACTCCACACCAGTGCTGCAAACCCTCACTTCAGTCAGCTGCTGTTCAGGCTCCTGGCCAGGCCAAGTAGAACACCATGAAAATTGGTTTTTAATGCTCCATCAAGAAGGCACACGCTAACAATGTTCAACTGAAGCATTAAAAACACCCTCCACCCTCCTAATCTAGCCTGACACCAGTATCTGCCCAGTTTGCAGTGTGCACCACCCCACGAGCAGGCAGAGCTTGTATTAACAGAGCAGCAAGGTTGCTAATAACAAACCAATGAGTATCTAACACAGCCTGAGGTGTATCAGACACAGTAATAGAAAAAACTGAAATTTATATCCTTTTTTATGACCTTCAAAAGTCAGAATGAGAGGCTCGCAACTTCAAATTGGAAGTTTATTTTAGCCTCTGCTTTGCATTCAGGAGACAGGTAATTTTTCGTCACACCACACAAAGTGCTGCTGAAAATATGTTGTGTTTTTTCTGCAGTATAATTTTATTGCTGGCCTTCTGCCAAAAGTCTTTCTGGCAGCATCTCCCACAGTTGGAAACTGTGTATCTGGGTCAGAAAAGACAAGCGGCTTTTCAGAACAGCTCAATACATTTGGCAGAGATGCTGATATTGTAATTGAACTCTTTCAGCAACTCTCTTTATGATGTACCCAGACACCAAACAAAACAAGATCTGCAGTGTTGATTAATGTCAAAATAACTGACAGAGAAATATCAAAATAGTTTTCCCTCATGTTAAAAGTATCAACAAACCGAGGGGAACAGATAAGAAATACAATTCACGAGGATTCAGAGAGGAGCACAGGGCAGAGAAATCTGCAAAGCAGGGCTGACCTGCTCCCTGTGCAGATATTCCCCAGTTAAAATCCCAGCTCCCCGTGCACTGCACAGAACTTCTCCTTCCCCACCACAGGAAGAGAAATCCTGGCCACTCTCAGCCCCAGCAGCACTCTGGAAAGCAGTGCTGCCCTAACACTGGGATACATATTTAATAAGGCTCAGACTGCTTCCAACAATATGCTCGGCATCCAATTTCACCTGGAGACTGTGTATTCATAGGAGTTTCATTATTTTCCATGTAATGCATTTCCTGGCAAAGTTGTGTCTGGGTTAGCCTTTAGAAGGCTGGAATTTTCCAGCCAAATGAATAATTACAAAGCAACACTACAGTTAAAAGCTGGAAAGGTACTTCCTCTGGCAACTCTTACACTTCATACAACAAATACTTGAGTCTGGGGTTACTCCTGCCTGTTCAGTTCTCACAACATCTCAAGGAAAGGCTCCTGTGCTCGGAGATCTCTTGGGAACAGCCTCTGCCAGGCAGCCCCAACAGCCAGGTTTAAGTGCCAAAGACAGGGCAGGCACACACTTGATAAACAGATCTGGAACCATCAGAACTGAGGAACCAAAGTCACCTTCCAGGACCCAGAGCTCTGACAACTCTGACAGCACCAGGAGAGTGAA